TTTTCTAGGATTTGTGGAAGAAATAGCTTAGTATTTTCCTTTGTATGAGTGCCTTTAAATTTCGGCCATAGGCCTATTGTAATGCTCAGATTTTTATTCTTCATTTCAAGATAGAAATACACTGGTTGTATTCTGTTTTCAAATCCTAATTTCTATATCTTAAGGTTGGTTTCCTTAAGTGTGAGTGTTAGGTTCTAGTTATTTAATTGAGTGTGTAATATCTTAATTAAATTCTAGACTCAAACCCCAAGTGAGGATAAGAGTGTGTTATATCTCTTAAAACCTACTTGGTTTTTATCCCTTTTCCCCTCTTATTTTCCCTTCCAAATTTTCGGCCCTCCTAAAAAGCACAACCAGTATCCCCCTTTTTCTCCCCTATTCTTATGCCTTTAAACCATCTTAAAAATCAACCCTTCATCCTCCTCCATATACTCGACCAGTCCACTCCCCTCCCTTTCCAAACCCAAGCTTAAATATATCATAAGGGAATAACCCTTGGAATAACCTTCACTTGTTGGTATTCTGTTTATTTCTTTCTTTTGTGCAGAGATGGCCTAACTTCATTGGCTTTGTGTTTTCTTTATTTTGGTTAAGTGTGCATTAGTACTAATGCGTCTTCTAGAACTTAATTGTTACTAAATACCTTATTTTCAAATGATTCTCTGCCAGTGGTTGTAGAGCGGATGCCAGCGAAGCTGCTATTATATTATTGCCATTAAATATTACTGTATTCACCCTTGACTTCTCTGGATCTGGACTGTCTGATGGAGAGCATGTTACTTTGGGATGGAATGAAGTGAGTACCTAAGAAACATGTTGCCTTTAAAAAAGTTACTTGAATGTTGATATCCTAATAACTTATTTTTGTCAGCAAGTCAAGCAACTTTGTTCTGTCACATTCAAAACCGTTTAACGAATTGAATATACTAACAATCATAGTTTTGATGAACCATGGAAATGGAATTAATGTGTCGAATTATTTAGAAACATGTAAATATTTTTACCTAAGGTTATTTTCTATTTGCTTGCATTTTGAGAATTTGAAAATTATTGATGCCAGTGTTCTGACTTCTGACATCTGATAAGCTGCCTATAAGAGCTTTGTTACCTTATGAATCCTACCATGTTACGTTATTTTGGAGATTGCCTTCTTAGTATCATGTCTTTACGGTTATTGACATATACATTTTTTCGCCTGTTTTGTAGAGGGATGACCTTAAAGCTGCTGTTGAATACCTACGACAAGATGGAAATGTTTCTTTAATTGGCTTGTGGGGTAGATCAATGGGTGCTGTTACAAGGTATTTCTTATCTTCGCATTATATTCGGTCGACTATATGCTTATTACACATGCAGTTTTTTAAAAATATATATAAGTCATTTTTTAAGAATATTTTTGCTTTGGGTAAATAATGAACTAAATAAAAAATGGCACTTTGTAATGTTTTGGATGGTAAATGCATCAAGGGTATGAAAACAGCCTGTGTTTTTTACCAGTGTAAGGTTGTGTACATCTAGACCCCCATACCCCAAATGAGTGGGGATTATCCTAGGTTTATTGTTGTTGATGTTGTGTTGATGAGAAACTAATATTATTATCCATATATAGATCTTATGTTGCCAAGATTATTTTTAGCTAGCACATGGTATTTTCTCATGCATGTGGAAATAACCTATGACGATGATCGTTTTATTCCCTCCGCCCCGAATTAGTCATCTCACTTTCATTTTCAATTCGCCCTAAAAATGTCACACTTCTTTAATTTCCTAATAAAGTTAAGAATATGTGGTCCACAATTTTTCTCCTTCTAAAGAAACTTCAAGTGCATTTTTTACTTTTCAACACTTTTCTTAAATTTTGTGAAGTCAAACTGTGTCAATTAATTTGGGACAGAGGGAGTATATCTTTGTGTATTTATTCCTTGTGAAAGTTGTGTTAGGAAGAGCATCTTGCATAAATGTTGCCTTTATGTTTTTTGCATGAGTTTAGTGTTAATTAATTTTAGACAATTATTTGACAGTATAAATTTAATGTCACTAGAACTACTTGTGGGATTGAGGTGCTGATAATGATGATGATGATATGGTCTGATGTTAGTAATTAACTTGGCGCCTGTATTGATGTAGCTTGATGTATGGCGCTGAGGATCCTTCTATAGCCGGCATGGTTTTGGACAGCCCTTTCTCTGATTTGGTTGATTTGATGATGGAACTTGTTGACACTTACAAAATACGGCTCCCCAAGTTCACAGTAAGGTCCTGCTTAATTTACACATTGTAGATTTACTGCAGTGGGAATGCCATATGTATGCCTTCCTGGGTTATATTCTGTATTTCTGTTGTCTTTAAGGCATGCTCATCCTCTCGGAATCAAACTTTGCTGGTTTCAATACTTCAGATATACTAACATCTCTTGAGTTTAGGTTAAGTTTGCCATTCAATACATGAGGAAAGCAGTTCTTAAGAAGGCAAAGTTTGACATAACATTGTTGAACACTATCAAGGTATTTGAAATAAAATCCTCTTTTTTTTAGTTCCAATGTTTAATCAGGTTTGTATTGACTTTACGTCTTTACCACATAATTTTGATGTGAAAATTAATTGCATGCCAGTTATTCTATTCTTATAGAACATTTGAGATTATCATAAATGGGCATGTTTCCGGAAATGAAGTTTGCATTTTTAGAGGCTTTAGTTCTTTGCATTAATTGTGCCTGTGAAATAAGAATCATTTGCTAAATTCATTTATGATCTGAAAAGTTGCCACTTTCCACCCTTCTATCGCGGGAGCTCTAAATTATTGCTTGATGTCAATTGGGTGATTTGTTGTTGTTGTTGATGTCAATTAGGTGATTTTGGAGTAAATTTAAATATTTGAACTAGACTGTTTTTTAAACAAAATCATATCCTTTTGTCCAAAAGGCAATCGTTTAATGGATAATCGTAGGCATTTATTATCTTGTTTCTCAAAAGGTTTGTTAGACTAAGGATATAGTGACACTATGAAATTATGTTGTGGCTTTTCCAAGTGAAATAGACTGTAAGTTTGAAGTGGTATTTCTCTTTTTTATATTCTTTGATGGCAAATTCTAAAGGAGTATTTGCATCACAATAACACACTTATTACTTCATCCGTCCCATAGAAAAAGTCATCTTTTACCATGGTACAACTTTTAAATTTAGTATTGTACAATTATTGGAAACCATCAATTTTAGATGTAGTTTAAAATTTATTACTTGGCTTAACTAAGTTTAACATATTTAATTTTTTTGAGATACTTTCTTACGGAGTATAATAAAAATTAGATATATGAAAATTAACCCTTTTTTGTTCAAATAAGAATTTTTGGCAGAAAAGTTAGTCTTCAAATAGAGCTTTGTTTTTGGTGACGGAGGGAGTAATATTTATAACAACCTCTCTACTTTTAGTAGGGGTAAGATTTACGTACACACACCCTCCCCGGACCCTGCTCTTGCGGGATTCTACTTGAATGTTGTAACAAGTACTCCCTCTGCCCCGGAATATTTTTCCACTTTTGACTTTTTTCGGTCAAAATTGGCAAACTTTGACCCCAAATTAAATAAAAATGATTTTAGATATTGATACAAAAATAGTTTTATTAGATTTATTACATTAAATATTTTCAAAATATTATTTTATCTAATTAATATAAAATATATATGTAATTTAATTATAGGTCAAATGTTGAAAACGGTTGACTGAAAAAAGTCAAAAAATGGACAAATACTCTGGGACGGAGGTGATAATACTTATGAGTTTCGTACTTAGTAAGTTGGCACGCTGAAGGCCAAAAAGGCTTAGTACAGGTTTCTTAGTAATTTGCTAAGAATTCGTTTTAAACGGGTACTATTGTTTCCTGTTCATTTCTGTAAGAGGAAGAAATTTGGTTTATCTATTGATTTTGTGATGCCTTATAGTCAATCTTATGATTCCATCACTTCTTTGTGTAATTGTGTCCAGGTTGCAAAAACTTGTTTTGTGCCTGTCTTGATTGGTCATGCTTGTGATGATGATTTTATACGACCACATCATTCTGATCGTGTATTTGAAGCATATATGGTAATCCCTTAGATTTATTGATTTTCCGTTATTGTGCTTATAATGGTGATAATGATGATGATAACTATTTGCATTGCCAATATGAGTCGTAAGATCTGAGCTCTTTCACTGCATCCTCCCTTGCCAAATCAGTCATAAATTAAAAGCACTTCGACACTGGATTTTTTTTGGAGGGGGGAGGGGGATAGTGGTCTAATATGGAAATGATTTGACTTCTTTTACTGAAAGGGCAAATTACATTCACTTTTAATATATAACAAGCTTATTCTGTGTTATTTAAATTTTGCAGGGGGACAAGAATATTATCAAATTTGAGGGTGATCACAACTCTCCACGTCCACAGTTCTATTTTGATTCTATTAGTATCTTTTTCAACAATGTTTTACAGCCTCCTGATGACGAATTAGGGAATACATTTTTTGATGCGTCACTAAACTTTTTTGGCAAGGTAATTTGCTATCAGCCCACCACCATGTTATTCTTATTCTTTTCAGGGGACCGAAACTGTTATTCTGCTAGATTGGTAACTAATAAGATTAACTTCTGCCACCTTCAGAGTAGTCGGAGTAACATGCATGAAGTAGGATCTCCTGAGGATGTTTCAACAACCACTGTAGGTATGGATCCTGCTCTTGATTCTGCTAGCTTACACCATGTGTTTGGCTATTCTGATCATTTTCTGATTGTCAATTAGAGCACATGTTGACATTAGCTTCGTCATCGTTTTCTTGTAATTATAATAACTAATCTATGTCTCCATCCCTAAAAAAAGGTTTTTTTCTTGTATTTGGAAATTTTGAACCATTGAAAGTACACTCTCACCTTTCAATTATCCACGTTAATTCAACTTTGCATTATAAATTAGTCAGTTCCTCATTGATATCACTTTTCAACGTACTCTTTAAAACCTGTGTCATTTTCACATAGAAGATCAATTTGGGACGAAGGGAGTATTGTTTTTAGTACTAGAAACATAATAATTTCTTTAGATGGAGGAGGCATCTTTTCTGTTCTTGTGCATGTTTTAAAACATAGTTGATTGGTGTGATTTATTTCAGGTGCAGCGGAGAGGAGCACCGAGGATTGCATTAAGCACCTTCGCTCCAAAAGGCCTATGAGTAAGACAGAGGTATCAGTTTGGAGTTTTGTCAAAATGTCCACATGATGATGACCTTTAACCTTTGGAACATTTGCTTTGAGTTTCTTCTTTAGTGCGCTACTTGGATGTCTAATTCTTATCCTGATCAATCCATTTTCAGGTACCGGCAAACATTGGTTCAAAGGATAAACAATATGAAGACAAGGTGTTCTCTCTAGCTTTCTCTCTAGCTTCACATTTTTCTGTTTAGCGAAACTATTCCTTTTGTTCATATTTATTTTCAACATATAATTTTGAAGACTATTACAATGTTTTTATATAGATAAAACAATGGAGGACATTAATATATATTCATATACCAAGCAGGAGCATGAGAAATATGCTCCAAACTTGATACAAAACGTGGAATTTTCTGGAACTTGAAACTTCACTCCAACTAAACTTGAAATGATGCTTTTCAGGAAGTGGAAAGTTGCGCTGGTCATCTTACCCCATCGTCTTCAAATATGATCAGCTTTGACCTCTCTAATGGTGATGCACCTGATCGTAATCCGATAGACGATGATGATTATGTGGAATACTCACTTGATAATTTAGCAGATTTTCCAAGCAGTATGGAGGAAGAAGAAATGGTAAACGCATGTGTTGATTTTTAATTTAAAAAAAAAAAACGGGAAAGTCAAGATTTACATGATCACGTCTGCATGCAATAACTGGTTTTAGATTAAAAACTTTTTTCTGGTAAAAATATTTCAGATGCTTATGGAAGCAGTATTAGAGTCACTTAAAGACATAGAAGTGGCAGGAACGGCTCATGCCGAGTCAAACAACAGCCAACCAGAAACACTCCACACTATTCCGGGCTCGTCTTCTTCAACACAGAGCTTGGCCATAAATGAGCTTCCTGCTGCTGATGGGCACAATCCAGCAAAGGAAGCCAAACCCAGTGAGACATCTCCTCGCTGTGAGAATTCCATTGCGCCGGTGAATGAGTCCCCAACTGATAGTGCCAATGGGAATGCGTCGAAGAAGGAAACCGAAAGCAGTAAGACATCTAGCCACAGTGATACTTCCCAGAGTTCATCCACCTCAGATCACAACAATGCCAAAGTTACTGCGGTAAAAAATCCACCGAGCAACAACCGGGGGGATGGTTTGGTGCGTTGTTGGGACCTCGGTTTCTTCAAGAGTAGGTAACATCGAATGTGGTCATGCTCGTCATAGTGTACAGTTCTGCCATATGAAAATCAAAGTTAGACCAGTGAATATTGGTTTTTTTTTCGAAAATTTGAACCATGATATATGATTAGAAGAAGTAGTGGGAGAAAAAATATGCAATATCGAAGGATGCATTCATTGTGTTAATTTGGCTGTAAAATATGGACTGATCAAAATTTGTTTGAACGATATTCATTCCCAAGCATTGTTGTAAGAGCTAAAATGGATGCACTGTCCAAGTATGGCATTGAAATTTAAATGTCAAAAGATAAGTTCATTTTTCCTTTAATGAGAAGAGAATGTGGTTTATATTATTGATGTCAATTAAATTAATATATCATTCACATCTCAATGAACATGTCAAACTCAAACCCTTATTTTGAGAATGAATGGTTAACACTGAGGGCTTGTTTAGTGGGTTTTAAAGGAATGATATGATATGAATTCTTAAAATTTGCAAAAATGAAATTTGAAACAAGTGTGTTTGGTGTGATATGAAATGATGGTTGTTAGGCTGGTTGGTGTGGTGTCGGGGAAGGGGTTGGTGTGATGAGTTGGCCGTGGGTGCCGAAGGGGAACACCACCCACCCCCATCCCCTACATCTCCCATACAGCACGGGGTTAGGTCCACGAATTTCCCGATCTTCTTTGTATCTCTCTCCTTTCTCCTTTCACTCTTGATTGGTATTATCCCTACCCACACCCCAACTGTCGTGCTTTCTCTCTGGCTCAGGATGATGACTTGGCTGTGTGTTAGCAATCAGGATAATATTAGAACTCCCACCATTCTACTCCCTTAGTCCATTTCATTTTCTATTTATTATTCACATGATTAAGCTTCAATAATTTTTTTTACTTTTTTTCATTATCTAATAAAATAATGGTCACGTTTGGACTTTTGTTGTATGTTTTTTAACATATGAATTCTATTCTCCGTCCCAAAAATATTTCCTGTTTATTCCATACTATTTTAGGCTTCCGATAACTTTTATTTGTGTGTGCTTTTTCATTGGCGAGTTTATAAAAAATATTCTTGTCACTACTTGCACAGCCACACATTTGGAGGGGTAAGAGGGGGGTCTAGGGTGGGGGCGCAAGGGTCTGGTTGGGGTGGGGATGCGGAGGGGGTTAGGGGGGTATGAACCATCAATTTTACAAATGGACCACCGGAGAAACTCCAAATGAGTGAGTGTCATCCATTGATACTGAATACCAGTGTTAATGGAAAGCGAAATATATAGGGAGTAGTACTCACAATGGTCTAAAAGACTACTTATAGGCAATATTTGATCGTGTTTGGGTGACTCAAACCCATCTTATTCTCTTAGAATTCAATATCAATATCAAAAAAGAATGAAGCTCCATCCCCAAGAGTCTTTTAGCACCGGCTAGATAGTTAGCTAAGAGAAGATAAATGAAGTTCTAATATCAGTCACTTGACGTAGGCATGGGGTTCCATGCATGCCTGAAACTTGTAGAGATCTCATGATTTGCATGGTTATCCCTCAACGCAGCCGCCAGGCTTTAAACTCGAAATCTCTCCCTTGTAACACACTCTTATGCCAACTGATCCAACTAATGAGCTACACCTCACTCGCAATTTGTGTTTATAGAGTTTATTATGCACCTTAGATGAGGTGTAGGTGCATCCATGCTATTCTCAAGCATACATAAAACTCTCAAGTTTTAAAATATATTATATGATTTATATCCATCTCAAAATATGTGTCTATCTTTACTTTTTAAAGTCAAACTAGATAAATTTTAATCATCAATTAAACAAATATTATACAACAATTACTAGAAAAATATTTTTACTAGATTTATCATGTAAACTTTTTTTCAATAATTTAAATTTATCCCATTCCAATTTGGAGTTATATTCTAACAAATACTTTGGAACGGATGGAGTTAGTACTCTTAGAATGTTAAAATGATTCCTTTCAAATGAAAAGGGGGCATTGAAATGAGGATTAAAAAACTTGTTGGATATTTATAATTGCTTAACTTCGCAAAACTTCAAATCCGGGTTTTCATGCCAAAAAAAAATATCAAANAGGGGGGGTATAAAGAAGCCATTGTCAACACAAAAATATTACAAAACTTTGAAGTAGCTGAAGTAGCCATTGTCAACTTGTTCTTATTGACAAGCTGAAGTAGCTTGCTTATACATAGACTGGAACAGGGAAGAGAGAGATATAAAAGGTGAGAAATGTCCCGTTGAAAGTTAAAAAAAACAGCCCGAGTTAGTTTTACACCCGCTTTGCACATTTTCGTAGTAGTATAAGTTAAAAACAGAAACAAGTAAATCATGTAATATCCCAACTTTCAAGTCTTACCTTACCAGCACAGCACCCCCAACCCAATGGCTTCTTCTCTCTAGTCCCATGCCGCCGCCAATGCCATCATCCACAGTGCAACTCCTCCCAGACGTTGTGGACGAATGGTTTATAATGTTAAAGCTAATGGGTACCCAAGCTGCTAATTTCTGAAAACCCCATAAATTTTACGTGGTGCAATTTGGTTTTATAGGACACGGCAAACCAGAAGCCGAGCTGCTGCTGCAAAAAGAAAAAGTGTGTGCTGTTCTTAATACCACTGGGTTCCTGAGGATCCACTAGGAGCTGCAGCAGCTACTTTCCTGGCCATGTATTGGTCGGCGGGTTTAGACCCTTCGTTCCCTTCTTCTCCCTTTTCATTTTTACAGCTTGGGTGTCTCTTAGAATATGTCTGAGGGTTAGAAATATGATACTGAGGCACCATAGTAGTGGTGGTGGTGGTGGTGGGGTGGTTGTTCCTGCCAAGCAGTCTTCTTTGTTGTTCGATCGACTCAGTTCCTGATCCCCCACCACTATGGCGCATCACTGAACTTACAATTCTACCAGGCCTCGCACCGTCACCTTCGTGTATATTAAGAATTTTACACCAGCAAATAAGTAGAGAAAAAATGGCAAAAAAAAAGAAGAAAAGGTTGACGACAAAGAGGGGAGATGAATGATTCTACCTTGAGGAACTTGGAGAGGAAGCCTTGTCATAGGAACTTCTGAGCTCCTATCCATGAACGACTTGTCTCCGTCTTTGATAGAGCATCTAGAGAGACCATTTGCAATGTCTGTTGTATTTTGCATTGAATTATCCGAGTATAACACAGACGCCCTGTGCCCAAATAATTATCCATTCATCAAATAAAATTGTAAGGACATCACACAAAAAATAAAAAGAAATTTAAAAATAATAAAAGAAGCATACATAGCTACTACCTGGGCAAGGATGATGCTTGCTGTCTCTCAGGAGGAGCTACCACTCCACCTTTTCCATAGTGCTCTTCAAGATATGCAAATTGTTTCTTAAATTTGTCCACTGCACTGTAATTAATAATAAAGTCGGAAGATATAAATAAATAAATAAATAAATAAATAAATAAATAAATAAATAAATAAATGTTTGGCAGATGTCTCATCGTGCCTGACCAATGCAAGCACTACATTGCAAATTCAAAAAAAAAAAAAACCTTCTTAGATGTATTTGCAACAAAAGTTTTTCATCCATTTTTCTAATAATAAGGATATGGAAAGAAAATAAAACCATGCAAAAGCATAATTGTTGAAAGGAAAAAAAGATCGATAAAGTAAATAGAAATACCTAGGATACATAAAATTCGTTGGTTCTTCACCTTCCAAGTGCTCCTTCAACATCTTTGGATGGTACTCAAGAATCTCTCGGTATATAAGCTCCCTCACATCCTCCTTTGTTATCCTTCGCCTCTCAAATTCAAATTCCATTTTTGTAACAGGTTGAGAAGAAGGCTCTCGTTCAACTCGAGCCAAGTTCCTGAAATATGGGTCTGCAAGTGCCTGCCAGTTTGTGACACAAAATGATCTTTGAGAGACTGGACTAGAAACTATCATATGCTAAAACTTCATACAAGAAAGGTGCATATATATACATATACATACATACATACATACATATATGTGTGTGTGTGTGTGTGTGTATGTATGTATGCATGTATGCATGTATGTATGTATGTATGTATGTATGCACCTCTTCTGCAGTAGGTCTATCTTTAGGATCAAAAGCAAGCATCCTTTCCAGCAAGCGAAGTGCAAGGGGGTCGACATTTGGAAACTTCTGGCAGAAAGGTATGGGTCTTTTTCTACGCATACTGCTCAAATACCTTCTAGCCTTTTCGTTTCTTATCTGTGATAAAAAAAATTAACTATGAATCTATCATACAAGCTATGGATGAAAAGGAATAGACCAAATCATAAATAAATAGATAAAGGTAGGTGTTTACCCTTGCAATCGATTCAGGAGAAGGTGTTCCCAACATATCAGTCATCAAATCCAATTGGTGAACTACATTCTTCCCAGGAAAAAGAGGCTTTCCTGTTAATAGCTCCGCAAAGATGCAGCCAATGCTCCATATATCAATAGCTGGAGTGTACTGAGTAGTAAATGTAAGTAGACATACTTTAGTATACATTGTGTTGGTCAAGAAACTGCAAAGGGTACATATTAATATATAGCCTTCTATTACTACTTTTACATCAGCATAATGATCATGAACATTAACAATAATACAACCTTGGAGAAAAATGATCCACACAGTTCAGGAGCCCGGTACCATCTTGTAGCAACATAATCCTACAAGAATAGAGTTTAGGAATCTATTATTATCTTAGATAATCTGAGCACATTCATAGAAATATAATGGCATAGTAAATATCAAAAACTGCATGAGAGATACTTACTGTCCAAAATATAGCTGTTGGAGTGTCATTGAAGGCCACTCTTGCGAGACCAAAGTCACAGATCTTGAGCTTGCAGTCAGCATTTGCTAAAATATTTTTTGGTTTCAGGTCCCGGTGAAAGACATTGGCTGGAAAAAAATTAGTGGTATCAGTTATTGGAAGTTTACAAATGATGACTTTTCATTCACCACCAACGTCATGGCAGTGATGAGGTAACTGAACAAAGTATCATGCATATAATCCCTCTGTCCGGAATTAGTTGGCCACTTTCTACATTTAAAATGTCAAATAAGTTCTTCAAATTTGTTGGTTACTCGCTCATTCAAGTCAACAATGCTCATACTCTATCTCTGGTAAATTTCACACAATTTAACATTATTTCTTTGTTGAACATAGAAAAGGGCCAATTAATTCTGAACAATCAGAAACAAGAATGTGGACAACTAACTTCGGACAAAGGGAGTATATTAAATGAAAAGCAAAACCATCAATGACACAACCTGTATGTATGTACTTTAACCCTCTGAGAAGCTGATAAAGGAAAAACTGATAATGTTCTGGAGTCAAATCATCGTTCGCTTTAATGACT